TTCTAGTGGTTCTCCAGCTAGATTCTCTCTGATTTTGATCAAAATTTAATCAGCTACATGAATGAACAACTAGAAGTAGATTCACTCTGTAAGTTATTCTGAGACTTCTAATTGTTACCTGCCCTAGGGCATTTGAAGTATAAGGGCTCATTTCTTTTTAATCTTAAGAAAATAATTTCTAATGATGCAACTTCATTTTTAGGTGGTAAATTTGATATTGTCGTAGTATCTCTCCAATACTCCAGGCCCTGCATGTAGGAGGAGGCCAGGAAGTAAGAGCTAGTTCAACAGGAACTAGTGTTAAAATACATACTTCACAACAGTAATCCTGCAAAAATCTTTACAAATAAAGGGATGTTACTTTGAAGCAATATTTTTTTTGAAATGCTGCACTGTCTATATTCCTTTCCAGAAATTGAGTATTTAGCCAACTAAAGCTATGAGAAGTCTTACAGTAAATAAACTGATTTACTTTGTTTGAACCAATTATATTTCAGATAAGAGCAAAACTACCTAGGATACTTCAGCTTTGTTGATAGTTCTTCCTCTAGGGCATTTCATAGAAATCTGCATAATGGGCCAAATTTTTGTTTTCCAGAAAACTTGAATGCTTATGACTCTCATGTGTAGGAAAATAGACTATATTTGCTATTAGAAATGTTCTGTACCGCTTCTGAATTTTTGTTATCTGTTCTTTTATTTTAATGTTTGATTTTCCAATAATTCTATTTCTGTAAGGCACAATAAATGTAGTAAAAATACTCAAGAATATTTTACCAAGTCCACGCATTTTCTATTGATTTTCAGTTGTTTTTTCTTTTCCATCTGAATAATTATATTTTTCTGGAGGATCTTAGTCTAGACTCACTGTAAATGTGAATTATAAATACAGTCTAATCATATGCAATTGTATTCACTAATTTTGAATATTTTCACATTTTAAAACAGAATAATTGGAAGCACAGAGATTGCTCCCTTTATTCTTCTCAAAAAGTTGTTTGCTTACTTTGCAGTAGCTTCAGTATGATTAAAGAATGATTCATCAGAATGAAGAAAAATTACAGAGAGAAAAGTTCTGTTTCCATAAAATGAAGGTATTCTAAACAGCCTTTAAAATAAGGGAACATCTTTTATTCAATTATAACAGTAGTATGTGTTATTGTAAACACTGTAAGCAAGAAAAAAGTACAGCTATAAATACATTGTAATATGTACTCTTAACAGTTTGGAACACTTTGAACCACATACAGAGAAAAGCATAAATATACTACATTGATAAAGAATAATTATAAAAACGATAGACGGTCATAAAAAATGAGGTTTGAAAACTGGGCGTCTTTCAACACTCTGTGACCCATTTTTTTGAGTGTGGAACTTTGAATGGCAGCTGCCTTGTTGATAGGTTTTTCATCTCCTTTTGGCAACAAAAACTTCAATTTTGTTGACTTTAAAATTCTAATTTCTTGACAGGTACCCATTAAAACCTTCTCCTGCCAAATTTCCTTTATTTTCAACTGGTTCACATTTGTCAGAGCATTAGTCTAGCTATCTTTTAAACTTCATTTTAATAACCCATCTCATTAAAAAGTACTACAGTGGCCTCTAGTTTATTTAGTATTTGAACATGGCTCATGAAACTATTATTCAAATCTCTGAATGCACTCACTAATATATTCCACAACAAACATATATCCATAAGCCTTTTTATATTCTCTGTGTGCTCAGACATCTATATTTTAATTAAAAACTATCTTTTCTCCCCCTTGGCAAATTTTAAACATCTGTGGAGCTATCTAATACTGAGGCACAGACTTTCTGTGTGACCTTAGACAGTCTTATTATATATCCTAATTACATGTCTATGGAAAGGGGGCACATTGTAATGAAGATCACTTTTCAAAAATATAATAATAATTGACATCATGAAGCGGTTTGGATTTCTTAGACTAAATTTTACTATTTTGGAGACCTTGATTAACTTTTTAAAGCTAATAGGTAATTCCCTTATTGAGCTGAAGCAGGACATGCCCTTCCTTGGTCTCTGCCTGTCTATTCTGCTCTTGTCTTTGCAGATCCTTACAGACTTGTATATGTAAAATCACAAGCATTAGGCAGAGAAGCCCTGGGACAGTGGGCTTGGTCTGGATCTGCACTGGCTGGGCTGTTCTGAGAGATACACCTCCTGGGCCAGCCATAGAATTCTACCATTTTGTCTGTGTCACTCTTGGCTGAGTTTGACCTTCTCTACATTCAAGGCCAACTACTGAACACTGTTACTATTTCTGGAATTGCACTTCATGAACCAGCCAAAATGTAAGCATCTTTCTCCATTCTTCCTGTTGTGTTCTAATAACAGGATGTTTACACCTGAATTTCTGGTCCTGACATTCTTTCTCTCTCCAGTGTCCTCTGCATGTTCCAGGTGATAAGTGATACCTTCTTCGCCCATGTTACAAATTCTTGCTTTGGTAACCTGTACAATCTCCTCTTGGGCTTCTACCCTCTTTTCCAGTTACCATCTTTTAGGATCAGAGCTCAACTCCTCAAGGCCCCCACACAAATGGACCCTCTGCTTTTGAACTTATGTCCTAGTTATCCAAATCTGCCTGGATATTTGGAATTCAGCTCTTCAGCAATCTCCATCTCCGTGTTCCATCTAATTCTAGGATGGCAACTTCTGATTCTTGTTTTCCTCTGGTCCCTGCATGACTACTTTTCCCTTGAAGTCTTGGTCTGTGAGCATTCAGGCCTGCTTCATTGAACCTGTTACACTGCTAATAGATGGCTGCTGAACAAAGTTCTCTGGCCAAATAAGTCTAGAAATGGCTCCAATAAAAAGATTATTTAGTTTTCCTTTTTGCAGGATATAGCTTTTAAACACTAATATGTATCAATACAGGTGAAAATGATATATAGTCTCTCTCTATCTATCTATCTCTCTCTCTATACATAGAGAGAGAGATAGATAGATAGATATTTTTGTACCAAGGATCAAACCCAGGGGCACTGTACCACTGAGCCACATCCCCAACCCTTTTTGTTTTTTATTTTGAGACAAGGTCTCATTAGGTTGCTTACAGCCTTGCTAGATTGCTAAGGCTGGCTTGGAACATGTGATCCTCCTGCCTCAACCTCCTGAGCTGCTGGGATTATAAGCATGTACCACCGTACCCAGCCAATATATTTGTTTTGTAAGCATTTGTTTTCTATGAGTTTCTTAAAGGCCTATTATTTTTGAAAATGCTTTTTAAAGAAGATTAGATTAGGGAATCTCAGAGTCTCTTTCAGTTTATAGACCGATTCTGTGATTCACAGGGAATATTCTGGAGAAAAGTGTAAATTCTGTTAGTGTTTAGCCAACTCCTCCAAAGACTGAAAAAGCACCACACATTCATTACCAGAATGTTGTTTTCTATAAAGGAGCAAAGAGAAAGCAGAAGACTTTGCTATTGGTTTTTTTCTTTTTTTTTTTTTTTGGTATTAGTGTAAGATGTTTACAATGTAATATTTTTCAGCCACTAAAAGAAATGAAATCCTGTTATTTATAGCAACATAGATGAAACTAGAGGGTATCATACTGAGTGAAACAAGCCAGGTACAGAAAGACTAATACCACATAATCTCACTCATTTATAGAGGCTAAAAAGTTTATTCTTTAGAAGAAGAGGTTAGGGTAGTGCTTACTACAGACCAGGAATTGGAAGAGGAAAGGGAAGAAAGAATAGAGGGAGGTTAGGTACCAAAATAGGTCTAGATAGGAAGAATTAATTTTAGTATTCTGTAGTCTATAACAAAGTTGGGTAACTATGTTCTATAACCATTTATGATATATTTTAAAATAACTAAAAAAGAAGAGTCTAAACTTTCTCTACACATAGAAATTATATATGTTGGAGGAGATGGGAATGTTAATTACCCTAATTTGATCGCATATTGCATACATATATTGAATTATGTATTATATTGTATCCGATAAACATGTACAAATATTGCTCCAATTAAAATTTTATTAAAAGAGGGAATTGTTAGAGAATAAAAATAAGAGATTGAAAAAAAACGACATTGGAAAGAAATCGGTCTACTGGGCATCATTACCAATGGCATACAAAAAATAATAAAATAAACAGGGGTGCTAGAATATGCATATTCTAGGGCTCTACTTTAAATATTCTGCTTCACTAGGGCCCAGAGTTTTTAGCTAGTGCATTTTAAACTAGTGCCACATGGCATACTCATATGCATACTAACATTTAAGAAATTGTAACATTGAGACTCAGGAATGGCAGTGGCATATGAAAAATAATAAAATAAACAGGGGCCCTAGAATATGCATATTCTAGGGCTCTACTTTAAATATTCTGCTTCACTAGGGCCCAGAGTTTTTAACTAGTGCATTTTAAACTAGTGCCACATGGCATACTCATGCATACTAACATTTAAGAAATTGTAACATTGAGACTCAGGGATGGCAGTTGAGCTTGTTTAACAGGTGGCTCCAACTTAGAGAGACTTATGCTGGCTGATGTGAGACTAGCAGAAAATAAGTTGGGCTCTTAGTCTTCCAGTGGGTTACTGTACAGTAGACATATGGTGCATAATAAATACTCAAAGGTTTTAATTCTCTCCTCCATCATTGTCTCAAAGAAAACCCAACAAATAGCTGAGCACACCTGGGGCTGCTTACAATTCATCATTAGTTTTGCATTCTTTACTTTATTTTCATGTGAATTCCCTTGTGAGGAAATACCTGGATTCCAGAGATAAGAAAGAGTCCTCCTAGATTAACTCAAACTTTGATTTAATTATTCATTTTAAAATTAGACTCAGGTATTGACAAAAATTCAAATACCAGAGTATAGAGGCCTGAGGGATTTTTTTCTTCCCACGTTATTCAACAATTAAGTCTAGTGGTTTCAGATCTAAACTCTAGAAGCCTCCATCACCACATTTCCTGTTTGTAACTGAACAAAGTACACACAAAAGACTTTAAGAAACAGAAGAGAAGAAAAATAACCTGAGACACTGATAAAGATAAGTTTTAGTGTCATGCTGCTTCTAACATAACCGATCAACATTACTTAGGAAAAAAAAAGTTTGTGGGAGCATTTTTAATCCATCCATTTGCTTTATGGCTACATCAGGAGTTCTCTGAAAAAAAGAAGCATGTTAGGTAAGTGGCATTTTCAAATCTTTTGTTAATTTTCATGTCAAAATTTCACTTAATTTCCAAGTCCTCACTAAAAGATTCTTAATATTTGGAAAGTAAACTAGTTAGCATAATTATTTTTAAAATGTGCATTAAACTTTATTATAGTTGGAAAATATGTTGAAATACATTACTGAGCATAAATTGAGTATAAATTGACCATTGTCTCTTGAATGAAAACACAGTGGGCACTGTTTTATAATAAAAAGTTTGTTGTAGCTGTTCAATAAGTATTCATTGATAATCATGCCATCTGAAGTATTTGTTATTTTTTAAGAAACTATTTTATTTTGAGCATGCAAATTACTTTTTGGTTTAGATATAAAGCAGGAGAGGAGTAACTACATTCTAATTTTTTAGAAATCAGGCACTACAGTGTCTTCTTAGTAATCAATTCAATTGTCAACATTCAGAGAGACAATTTTAAAACAGTCAGTGAAAATTCAGTCTCTTGTGCCATGCATCATAAAGTTTGAATCAACGTAGATTTGATCCTTCGTTCCTTCTGCAGTCTTTATGTACATTTCATTTCTTTAACAAACATCTTTTTACTTAAGAGAAAAAAAAATTGCTTACCATGTAAAGTTGGAAAATTGTGAAATATATTTTTAAAAAAGAAATTAAAAAATCTTAGATATTTTTCATCATCTTAAAAACTACCAATATTATGTTGTATAGTTCCTTGTAATTTTTATTTTTATACATTCTATATAATTTGCATTTTATAACTGAAATAATAATGTGCATAAAATCATGTATCCAGCTTTTTTCACTAACAAACCTAACTACTTCCTTTTTATTATAAGCCTAATCATTTTAAATGAATTCACAAGATACATGTATTTTGTTAATTACAATTTTCCTGTCATTCAATTATGTTTAGACATTTATGCTATATCCAGTTCTTAAATATTTTAAAAGACAGAAAAATGACCAACTCAATAGTTTCTCCTATATTAAGGAACATTTTTTTTAAGGAAAGATAAGTAGAATTGGAATTACTGAATAAGAGATTATAAGCATCTTAAGTCTCATTATTGCCAAATTGCTTCTCCAAGGATGATGCAAATCCCCTCTTATCCTAGCAGTGTTGCTCCTTAACAGTCTGGTCTCATTTAAAAATTTTCGTAAGTACGACATGCTAGACCATTATATTACTTTGATTATATGCATTACTTTGATTATAATGAGGTTGAACATTGGATATATTGCATGGATTTAGTTTCTATATTTTTAGTTGTAGATGGACACAATACTTTTATTTTATTTATTTATTTTTAAGTTGTGCTGAGGATTGAATCCAGTGTCTCAAACATGCTAGGCAAGTGCTCTACCACTAAGCCACAACTGCAGCCCCTGCATAGATATTTAACAGCTTATAATTTTATCATCTGTGATTGTATCTTTTGCTTCATTGTTGTGCATAAGGGGCAGTCACAGAGTGAAGGTATCATATGTTTTAATTTCTGTGAATTTGCTTCCCAGTGTTTTGTTTGATGGATCTTAAAACCAATGGATTGGATAAATCACCCAGGGAACATAAGCTAGCATGTGATTTTCACAGTTCTCCTCCTTCTCCTTCTTAGCTTAGTAAAGAACAAAAGCGATTGCTCCAATTTGCTAGTGCACTGTAAGAAATTGACAGAGCAGTAGTACTGTCACTGCCATGAGCTGATGATGGGGAGCGTGGGAGGGTGAGAAGGCCAAAGGCTGAACATGACCTTTCACTATTTCCAGGACTAACGACTCTAAATGAAGAAGGAATATGATGAAGTTTCCTCCATAGCATTTTGTAGTTCAGAGTGTCCCTTCAGGTGCGATAGGAAGCTCCTTCATGTCATTTGAGACCTTTCACAATTTCATAGAAGAGGTACAAATTTAGTATTTGCCCTGAAAGCCTCAGAGACCTTAAAAGCCAAAACAAAACAATATGAAAGAAAAGAACCAGACTTTTTCAAATTCAGATAAGCAAGATAAAAACTACATTAGAACACAGACACAAAAGCACAATTATTCTTAATTAAGTAAAAAAAAAGGCTGAAATGAAAGATGCAAACTTTTTTCCTTTTCTTTGTAGTTATTACATCATCAATAAACGTGCTGCTATCACGATTCAAACTATACTTCTACATTCACACAAAAAAATCAGCATTAGCTGAATCAAATGGTAAAAACAGTTTGGTTACTGATAATTTAAACAATGATTTACAATTTAGTTTACACATT